TTTTTGTTTACATATGTGTGTATAATGTGTATATTTATTATGTATATAAAAATACAAACACGTGCATGTATATATTTAAGTAAAATATGTTGTTTATATGTTCAATATATTTATATATAATATAAAATGTAAGAATATAAATATATACATGTAAATACATGTAAATATTAAAAAAATATTTACTGTGTGTGTGTGTGTATTTATGTATACATAATAAATATACACAGTACACATACATATACGTATTATGTAAACAGACTTTTATTTTGGATGCGATTAATCGCGATTAATCATTTGACAGCACTAATATATATTTATATATATATATATATATATATATATATAAGCTCTGAAATATAAAGTTCTGAAAATTTACTCCATAACCCTGAAAAGACATTGTGCTAAATATCTCATTTACCATGCAAGAAAGTCTGAAATTAGATTATTTAATTATGATAATAATTTTTTTTTTTTTTTTTTGGAAAAAAGAAATGTGTATATAGTATTTATAGAGTTTTAGCTTTTAGTTTTAATTACTTTTTCTTATTTTGTAAGTCACTTTGCATAAAAGCGTCTGCTAAATGACTAAATGTAATTTTATTTAGATGTGTAGAGTGAATACTATATATTTATAATAAGTATTAAATATTTATATTATTTTTTTATTTAAAGTGTTATCCATATAATTTTGTAAAACTATGGGAGGTGGACCTCGGTCCAACTTTTTAGTTGTGATATCGTGTTTCAGTCTACATTAAATTCAATAAATATTATTAATAATGCAAATGATATTATTATTTTAGCTGCAGTGTAAATGAAAAATTAACTCTTCCTAATACTAATACTCTACTGTAGGAAAAAATTAAAATACTTTTTTTTCCCCTTAATTTCTTCACTTGTGTTTAAACCCTCAAGATTTAATTTTGGTTAAATTCTGTTCATTTTTAGTTCCTGTGAAAACAGGTTTACAAACATGAGTTTAGTGAAATGCTGTAATCATCCGTCCACAAACATTGTTCAGTCAATATACAAATGCGAAATTATGCAAATGTGAAAATAATGCTTAGCTGGTGCCTGTTATATACCCAAATGCACGTTAAACTCACAGCACATGCAGAGATGGAGGTCGCTCCATTCACTGTGAACTGATGCAGCGAAAACACTGAATCACAAACTAATATGCAGTGCTACAGACTATATATTTATTTAAATCACCACCATTTGAAATCTGATAAGAGCACTAAGCCATATTGCGCTTTAAATTTTAGTTTGTTTGACAAATGCTTTGCCAAAAGCAATAGTGCAAAACACAACATTAGAGACCTGTTATGTTATTATGAGAAGAGTAAAATATTTTCGGTTCATTATGAAACAGTGGCGGGACAGATTAGACCATGGCGGGCAGCCAGAGTCTAGGTAATTAATGGGAAACGCTGTGTAATTATATATTGTAGTTTTATTGTTTTGAGCTCTTGTGTTACATAATGTCAAGAAATTACCATTATCTTTGTGGGTAATCGTTTTTTCCGAGAAAAAATATAATGCAAATAAAAAAGACAAGATAATCAAATCAGATAAAGTATTTAATTCACTAAATTGTTCACAAATAGGCATTACCACATGAATATATAAAGTGTAAACCTTTTTTTTTTTTTTTCCCAAAAAATAACTATGCTGTCATGATGGTATAGTTATTTTTGCTAAAAATTACAATAAACATTATATAAAGCCATTTATCACCACCCATCTCTAATGTGAACGAAACCACCACAGTGAGATAGTTAGATGTGAGTTCATCAGTCTTGTCGTCCATGTTTTTCCAAGTGTTTTGCTTTTTAAATTTAGTGCGGAAAAGCCATAATTAAGCCATAATATTGCATAATCAATGTATGTTTGGTACTAGTTCATTATTCACCCTTGTCCTCTTAGTGACTTCATAATCCGTTGGGACCCCGAGGCACGTCGTAACAATTAAGTGCATAATACAGATATCCACATGCTTCGGGTTTGATGGCTCATTTGATATGTCTGCCGTTTCATTTTTTGATAAAGTCGCCTCACCTGTGCTAAAACTGGCAGAAATTAATTGTCGCCTTTCCATCAATGTACATAATGAGGTCTCAATCAAATTCAGTCTACCTTCATCAGTCTCTCTCACGGCAACAGACGGCACGCTTAACCTTTTCTCATTACCTTTGATGTGAATGCTTAAGCATCTATTTATTGGCTTTCAAACAATCATGCTCATTTGCATCCATTTCCCTTTGAAATATCGGAAAGGTCTCTCACTGTTTCTCCAATCACAACCCCATCCCGCAGAAAATATATTTTTTATCAACGCGGCGGGTGAAGCGATTTAATTATACTCTTCTGTAAAGGTTATCATCTCTCAAACAGGCCTGAATAATGAGAGAATTGGAAACACTATTGGGGCAGACAAAGCTTTCAGAGGCGAAAGCGGCTGTCTGAGAGGGATTGTTGAGGAGTTTAAAAGAGAAATCTGGAGTTGGTTTCGGCCATAATAAAAAGGGCACGTTGGGTTTCATCACAAAGCCGTGAACTGTAGTTAATGACTGCCATCCTTTGAATGCTAGTCCTGATAAACTCTGTTATAGTCACAATCCCTGCACCGTATAATGTGTTGAATAGCAAGCAGAAGGTCGGATCAACTGTATTCTTTTGTATTCTTCAGTAGCCCTTTGTTTTGGCCTCTTGAGTATGGCTGAGATTACATTTATTGAGAAAGATAAGATTAGTAACATGAAGTCAAATTGAAACAACTTTCTTTTTCCTCAATTACTGTTTTATTTGAAAATTTGCAATTAAGTTGACAAAAAAAAAAAAAAACTGAGCCGAAGTTTAAATCAGTGTTATTTTATAATTATTTATATACTATTATAGTATTTATTATTATTTTGAATGAGCTTTTATTTTTATATTTAATTTAAATGTTTTTATTTTTAGTATTATTTCTTTGTGCTTTTGTCATTTTTACTAGATTTTTTAAATATATATTTCTATTTGGCTTTAATTATTAATCATTTTAATACTTCATCTTAAGCTTTTTGTATTTCAGTTACATGCCAGGGCAACATTTAAAAATCTCTTCTAATTTAACTTTTATTTAATTTACGCTTTTGTATCGCGATTAATCATTTGACAGCACTAATATATATTTATCTAAAATAGACATTTTATTGTCTATTTTACATTTTATTATCTGTTAATTTTATATTAGTTCATTTTTTCCTCATTTGTAAGTCACTTTGCATAAAAGCGTCTGCTAAATGACAATGTCAAGAAATTACCATTATCTTTGTGGGTAATCGTTTTTTCCGAGAAAAAATATAATGCAAATAAAAAAGACAAGATAATCAAATCAGATAAAGTATTTAATTCACTAAATTGTTCACAAATAGGCATTACCACATGAATATATAAAGTGTAAACCTTTTTTTTTTTTTTTCCCAAAAAATAACTATGCTGTCATGATGGTATAGTTATTTTTGCTAAAAATTACAATAAACATTATATAAAGCCATTTATCACCACCCATCTCTAATGTGAACGAAACCACCACAGTGAGATAGTTAGATGTGAGTTCATCAGTCTTGTCGTCCATGTTTTTCCAAGTGTTTTGCTTTTTAAATTTAGTGCGGAAAAGCCATAATTAAGCCATAATATTGCATAATCAATGTATGTTTGGTACTAGTTCATTATTCACCCTTGTCCTCTTAGTGACTTCATAATCCGTTGGGACCCCGAGGCACGTCGTAACAATTAAGTGCATAATACAGATATCCACATGCTTCGGGTTTGATGGCTCATTTGATATGTCTGCCGTTTCATTTTTTGATAAAGTCGCCTCACCTGTGCTAAAACTGGCAGAAATTAATTGTCGCCTTTCCATCAATGTACATAATGAGGTCTCAATCAAATTCAGTCTACCTTCATCAGTCTCTCTCACGGCAACAGACGGCACGCTTAACCTTTTCTCATTACCTTTGATGTGAATGCTTAAGCATCTATTTATTGGCTTTCAAACAATCATGCTCATTTGCATCCATTTCCCTTTGAAATATCGGAAAGGTCTCTCACTGTTTCTCCAATCACAACCCCATCCCGCAGAAAATATATTTTTTATCAACGCGGCGGGTGAAGCGATTTAATTATACTCTTCTGTAAAGGTTATCATCTCTCAAACAGGCCTGAATAATGAGAGAATTGGAAACACTATTGGGGCAGACAAAGCTTTCAGAGGCGAAAGCGGCTGTCTGAGAGGGATTGTTGAGGAGTTTAAAAGAGAAATCTGGAGTTGGTTTCGGCCATAATAAAAAGGGCACGTTGGGTTTCATCACAAAGCCGTGAACTGTAGTTAATGACTGCCATCCTTTGAATGCTAGTCCTGATAAACTCTGTTATAGTCACAATCCCTGCACCGTATAATGTGTTGAATAGCAAGCAGAAGGTCGGATCAACTGTATTCTTTTGTATTCTTCAGTAGCCCTTTGTTTTGGCCTCTTGAGTATGGCTGAGATTACATTTATTGAGAAAGATAAGATTAGTAACATGAAGTCAAATTGAAACAACTTTCTTTTTCCTCAATTACTGTTTTATTTGAAAATTTGCAATTAAGTTGACAAAAAAAAAAAAAAACTGAGCCGAAGTTTAAATCAGTGTTATTTTATAATTATTTATATACTATTATAGTATTTATTATTATTTTGAATGAGCTTTTATTTTTATATTTAATTTAAATGTTTTTATTTTTAGTATTATTTCTTTGTGCTTTTGTCATTTTTACTAGATTTTTTAAATATATATTTCTATTTGGCTTTAATTATTAATCATTTTAATACTTCATCTTAAGCTTTTTGTATTTCAGTTACATGCCAGGGCAACATTTAAAAATCTCTTCTAATTTAACTTTTATTTAATTTACGCTTTTGTTGAATATTTATCTCATTTATATTTCATTTTATCAGCTTCATCATGTTTTTTTTTTTTCAATTAATGAAAACTATTTTTAATAATTTTAGTTTTAGTCAGCAATAACATTCACTGGTTTCAATCAGTTCCTGATAGATAAAATCAAGCTCCACCTTTTTCCTCACTTGATATTCTGTTTTTACTCTAAAACATGTCACAATATGGACGTAATATGTGTAAGTTAAATGGGAAGCAAAATGTGTTTTATGTTGACTGTGTAGGTGTTTGATAGTCATTGAACACTTTCGCTTGTTTCTTTCTTAATCGTTGTCTCTCTTTATCAATTTCTCTTCCTTCATTCTTAGCACCAGTTCAGGACAGACATTCAGCATGGACCAGGACTCCACCGATGCAGCCAGTACTTCTGGTTCCGCCACCACCAGCGTCTCCTATGACTTCAGGTGCAGTTCATTTTCTTCAGTTCTGCAGACTTTACTAAGAAAAAAACAATTATGTATTTACTAAAGGAACGTTCATCCTATTCTATATTTGTCAACTCCCTGTGGCACTGACTAGATTATAATAATCACGTTCAGTTTCTGTTGGTCGGTCAGAACAGATATAGTTTAGCACAGAGAATCTTTACACGAAGATTTGCACCCTCACAGTGTTGCTAAAAAAAATTAAGATGCATTGAGAATTGTTTGGGAATCAGATTGTGACTTTTTGAATCAAAATAGAATCAGATCACTAGGTGCTAAAAGACTTCCACCCTTATTTTGCATGCTTTTTTTAAATGTGCGTGGTGCAACAAAATGCTCTCGTGAATATGTTTATTTAAATACATATTCTTACAGTATGTGCAGCCAGTTACATTTCATAAAACTTAAAAATACATCTAACACACTAGTAACAGTTCCCTGTCAGTGACATTAATTTAGTTGTCTGTTCAACAAAAGTTGTGTTGTTTGCCGTCTTTGTATGTATAAAATATTAATGTCAAAAAATTAATCGAAAAAAAAAAGATTGAAATTCTTGCTCACACTGCAGCTAAATATGATCTTGTTTAGCCACAGGGCTGTAGATTCAGCAGCAGCGCAAAACGCTGGTGTGATGTAATTCTTCACAGGCCGTTGCGAATCACTCGTACTCTTGTAGATCCTTGCAACAGCATGTTTTAAATAAGTGAAGTTAAAGCCACGCATCTGACATATGAAGTCAACCCAGTGCATCTTTCCAGTCAAAATATTTTCCCTGGATTAACTGGAGACCCGCTGGTACCTAACCCTGAACTACAATTTAAGTGGGTTTGCGGTTGCTTTTTGATGCGAGCCTGAGGGATTCTGGGAGCTAATTTGTCATGACATTTGAAGTGGTGACATCAGTGATTGCAACTAAACCACCGGGCCACCAGGGTGCCTCTAACTGCTTTGCTTTCTAATATACATGAGCTCCAGCAATTGTCAGTTTGACACGGTCGCTGGATTGACCGTGGCGGGTTTGCTGGAATTCCAGGCCTGTATCCTCTATGCTTTTTATCTGGCTCTTTCACAAGTGTCCTCTTCACGGCTACACTGCAGCGTAATCAATATTGCTGTAGTGGGACAATTTGGCAGCGCGACTGTCACTGTAGATTCTCACCTCCCCTGCTGGGGTTGCACTCTGCTGCCCACGAGTTAAAGAGGAATAACAGGCGTCCATCACCACCTGATGTTGTGTGTAAACCGCCTCTGACAGCTCGCAGAGAAATATGCTGTCAGATTATGGATTATTTATGGTTATGGCCAGTTGTTTGCTTCTGTTTATTTTAAAGATAGAGTCTGAAAACGGCAGTGAAACCATGCTAGAGCTGAGGATGCCATCAGTCAGTTATGAATTTGGATGTCAGTCTGTCAGCTGTTGTGGTCACGTATCTGGGTTTGCTTTAGCGCTAAAGGTCAGATTCTTAAATGAATATTCCAAGTACTTTCAAACTCTACTGTGGTGTGTTATCGATTACCGCAGATTTGTTTGGGTTATGCAGTTTTCACAAACCGTCAGTGTGTATTAAGTGAACAGGAAACATTTTTATAGTAATCGCTTAAATTGGAAGTCTAGCAAGTCTAGGGTTCACTTAGTCATGAAAAACCTAGCAGAGATAGCAAGAAATATTAAAACTGGAAAAATAATGGAAATAAATATATTAGGGCTGGGACGATACGCTAATCTGCCGATTCAATACTATCCCGATACTTGTGTGCCGATTCAATATATATTGCGATAATTGTGATTATATAACTATTGCGATTCGATATTACAATTTATTGTGATTTTTGTTTGCTTATTAAAGACCAGACAATGGAAAATACTTGGGCATACCATTAAAGAGACTGTAGCCTATATGATGAGTCATATTAACAAAACAATGCATCTCTTTCTGAACTTTTATTTCAGGAGCATACACATACATAGTGTATATTTTAAAGTACATTGAACCATGAAACTTTCAAGTACTAAAACCCTGAACTTGCACATGAATATAATAGTCAAATGTTCAACAAAATGAGTAGAAAAAATACTTTCTGAAATGAAATAGAGTGCTTTTACTTTGCATACCGTTTTAGTCCTTTGTAGTCATGTTTTCTTGGCAGTGTGTAAAATCCTAAGTGTTTCCACACTTGGGATTTAAAACGTGAAGGTGCAGAAAGAGTTCTCAAAGAGGTTTGATTCTCTGCCTCCATCACGGTTTTGCTTTCTCGCGGCGTCTTGAAATGTATACGATGTAGGGCTGTGAACCTTTGGGTAGACAGCGAATCGATCCGATTCACGATTCACAGGTTTTCGATTCGATTCAAGAACGATTTTTGCAAATTCAGAACGATTCAATTCAATTCGTTTCACAATTAAATTCCATTCGATTCGATAAACAATTCTATTTTGCATTCTTTAAGTGCATTCACAGGATTATTTAAATGCTTCCCCTAAATTCTTTAAGTGCTTAGTCAGGGGGCAAATCACACAACAGCCTTTATGGTTAGAGAACCATAGGTTACAGAAAAAAAAAACACTTTTGTCCATTGTTAGATGCTAGTTTAATGATGCTATGTCATGAAATGGCATATGTAGAAATTTATGTAAGCCAAGATTCCGTAAGAACGGAAAAGCGCCAGGAATGGATCAAGTGCTCCCCGAGGCGGTCAAAGCAGGTGGAGACGTTCTGGCCAGCCGTCTCCACACATTAATCCGACTTATTTGGCAATCAGAGCGCATTCCATCAGCCTGGAAAAAGGCTATGATCGTTCCTATCTTCAAAAAGGGCGACAGTCAAGAATGCAAAAACTATCGAGGGATCAGCCTGCTCTCCGTGGTGGGCAAGGTGTTTATGAAGATCATCCAAACTCGCCTACAAAAGCATCGGGAACAGACGAGTCGAGAAGAGCAAGCTGTGTTTCGTCCACACCATAGTTGCTGCGACCAGATCTTCTCTCTCCGTCAGTTGATGGAAGAGCGGATCCGATGTGCGAAGCGATTAGTGGGCGTATTCATCGATTTCAAATCGTTGTTCGACTGCGTTCACTGGCCGTCCCTCTGGACAGCATTGGAGGTCGAACATGGGCCGCCGAAAATCATCCGCCTTCTCCAGAAGTCTTACAGTGGCTATACAAGCTGCGTCAGAATCAGAAATGAAACATCTGAAGAGTTCTGCATCCGAACTGGGGTTCGTCAAGGAGATGCTGCCTCCCCAATCTTGTTCAACGTTGTGATCGACTCAATCATGAGGAAAGCATTCAAGGACAAGCAAGGTGTCCAATACGGCATTGACGGATATGTGACCGACCTGGCGTTTGCTGATGACAGCGCCGTACTGGCTGACATGGACGCCGAGGCCACCGACATCTTAAATGACATCTCTAGATTCGCTGAACCTTTCGGACTGAAGATCAACATCGATAAGACCAAAGTGCTCTCCACTGACGGATCTCCAGCAAACATATACATTGAGGGGATTAAAATCGAACAAGTACAGAATTTTAAGTACTTAGGATCTCTGGTCCAAGAGAAGAAGATCGCAGTGGTTGCGAAAGTTCAAAATATCGTATCGGCCAAGCAACAGCAGTGTTTGCATCGCTTAAATGGTGCTTGTGGAAGAAGGGTCAATATCACGATCGCGACCAAGATGCGTCTTTTCCGGAACCTGATCATTCCGATTCTACTCTATGGATCAGAGACTTGGACTGTTCTGAAGAAGGAAATCAACAAACTTGAGGTCTTTCAGATGCGATGTCTCAGGCAAATCTTGGGGGTAACTCGGCTCGACCGACTTCGAAACGAAACTGTACGACGACAATGCGATGACCAGTCCACGATCGAGGAGGCGATACAGAAAAGACACTTGTAGTGGTTTGGGCACGTGTGCCGAATGGACAGCACCCGGCTGCCGTATAAACTACTCTGGTGCCGACAACCACCAACGTGGAAGGTACACCGCTGTGCACCGAAGAAGAACTGGGCAAAACAAGTTTAAAACAAGACAACCTTAAAAGGCATCGTCTCACACTCGTGGATGCCAAGACCCTATCCACCGATCGCTCAGCATGGAAACAAGTTGTGAAAGATGCTGAAAGTCTGTCAGTACCTACAGCAGCTTATGAGCTACGAAGACGCCTTCGGCACAACGCCAGCTAAGGATCAAGAAGAACATTTTGTCACACCAGGGGCGTAGCCATCATTTCAGAAGTGACAGAAATGTCAAATACAATAATTTTATGTATGTATGTATTATTATTATTATTATTATTATTATTTTTACAAGGAATTATTTTCTTATCTCTTACTTTGAATTTACTATAAGAAATCAAATACACTGCTGGACAATAATCAATCATTTGTAATCTATAATTTTTTCCTAATGGCAATTTTATGATTGTTTTATATACTACAAACAATCAATTTTCTGCGCAGAATAAGATAGAAAATATACTTTATAGTTTCTGTACTGTAATAAATTATGTCAATTAGCACTGCATCATTCATACATTTTATTTATTTATTGTGTTTATTGTCTTAACGTTTCATCAGTTCATTCTGCTTTTTATTCAGATTAGCTGCAGATATAGCCTGGTACGTCTTAAGTTCTATGAGCACGAGATCAATTCTCTTTCAGTGCGAAAACTTCTTTATCTCATTTTCATAAAATAAAATGCTATAGTATTTAACTTTTCCTCTCCATCGGCGAATGATGATTCTGAAAGAAAACGCACCCGAAGTCTGTTTGCTATAGCAACGAACGCTACTTTAATGCATCTGGTTATCAGATAAACCTTGTGCTCTTATTTCAAGGTTGTTGTTAATGCTGTGGTCATTTTAGCAGTTTCCTTCGTACATTCGGTTCAACGACATGTTAAAACACATTTATAATTCAATGCAACTGTGCGTATGCTTTAGACACTTACATTTTTGCTCCGTCCATGCAATAAATGCGCAGCCTTCGACTGCTCCAGTAATGTCATCGGCATGACCGAGAGCCATTGAAAAACTACAGAAAAGCAAAACTACTTCACTTTAGCATTACTGGCCACACCACACACACACACACACATATATATATATATATATATATAAAATTAATATGGTAAAATATGTGAAACCGATTCCATCTCATCAATGCAAAAAGAAAAAGAATCATACAAAAGTAACCAGATTTTCCTTTTTTTAACAAGTCATAACCTGAATTTAAAAACAGAATGTAATATTTTAAATGTTTTTTTGTTGTTGCTTGTTTAGCATTGTTTCCATTTCTAAGAGTATTTACTGACTGACAGCACGAAACACATTAGTACATCCTTTAAATAAGTAGTTCACCTAAAAAATGTTAATTCTGTTATGTTTTTCTCACTCTCATGTCATCACCATATCCCTAAAATCTCATTTACATGTACTTGAGATTCAAAATAATTTTTGGGAAAATATTGATAAACTTCTTGATAAACTTAAATAATAATAAACTTCTTGTACACTTCTGTTCCTTCTCTAGTCTCTTGACCTTTTCTTTTAGCCTCCCTCACAAAGCTTTATTTTCATTGAGAAATGTGACTCTTTGTTGAGTCACCGCTTTAAGTCACCACTTCTTCAGAAGCTCATCATCTTCCTGCTAGTCATGCCTCGTGTCCCGCAGGCCAGATACTCATACAGTTAATAATCCCTTATATTTGTCCTGTATTTTTGTTTTTGTTTTGTCACCCGCTGCGCTAGGCCTGGAGAAACCGCGACCAAAGAAAGCAAAGGCCTGCGCGCAGAACATGCAGTTGGATGGCTGGCTGGCTGGTTGGAGACTGCCAAACGGCCCCACTCACTCTTTGATATCTTTCCCATAGTTTGTCTTATTTATTTTAGGATATGAACGCTCATTAGTATTCTTGCAATGTTCCTAAGGGTGTTTGGAAATAGGCGGAGAGAGAGGGTGGAGGAAAATAAACACGACTTGGATTTTCTCAACTGGAAAAGTTGTGAGGGGTCGACAGATCCCTGTCCCCTACTGTGCATCCTCGTTGTGGGCTAGATCAAACACTTCACAAACACATATCTGCTTTCCATGCTTGGCTTTCATGTACTAATACTGTTTAGCTCTACGTCCCATTTTAGCAGCTGTAATGATTTCTGAAATGGAGGTTCTCAGCATCGGATTTTGATATCTTGCTGTGATTTCCCATGTTACACATGCCCTTGGGCAGAAATGTGTGGTCATTATGGGGTTTATGCAGATTGGAAACTCCCCAGAAGATTTGCAGCATGAGAAAAAAAAAAACCCTAAAAGTCCAGTTCTGCTGCATGACCTTTAAAATGTCATAACGCCCACAGAGGCAAGTGAAAGGGGACTGAAGGCTAGGAAGTAAAATTCAGTGTTAAACGGGGACATCGTGTGGTAGACAGTATTAGTGCATCTATAAAATTTCATCTCTTTAAAGATTCTTTCATATTTATTCACTGGATAATGCAACAAATAATACATAAGTTTTCAAGCAGAACCAAGAGTAGTGCACATTTTTAACTGGCATTTAAAATAAACTATAATAATCTTTTTATATTTGCAGCATACAGAATGCATACTAAGCTATTTATTTTATGGCTAGAATATCAGGACATCTTTAGCTTCCATTTCCAATGGCATAAATTATCCAGAAGTGTTTACAGCTATGATTTATTAATTAATTTATTGAACTTGCCTTTCAAAGGTTTGGGGTCAGTAAGATATTAAAATGTCTTTAAAAGTCTCTTATGCTCACCAAGGCAGCCTTTATTTGATAAAAAATACAGTAAAAATAGTAATATTTGTGAAATATTATTGCAGTTTAAAATAACTATTTTAATACATTTTAAAATGTAATTACAAAAATAAAAATAAATAAAAAGCTGAATTTTTTTAATTTGCTGCTCAACAAACATGATTATTATTAGTGTTGAAAACAGTTGTGCTGCTTAATATTTTTGTTGAAACCATGATACATTTTTTGTACATGTGTCCCTGCTGAATAAAAATGATTAATTTCTTAAAAAAAATAAAAATAAATTACGACCCTAAACTTTTGAAAGGTTGTTTATTTATTTATTTTTTTCCTCACTTTCCTTAAATTATAATATATGTTCTTTTTAAAATATAAAATGATAGCAGGCTATATACAGTAATTGAGCATATATTCCATCATGAACATGATTTGATTGAACATGATTACAGGATTGTATTGTGAAAATATAATTTTCCCCCACCTCTGCAAATTGTTTATATGAGCAGAAAATAAGTTTGTTTTTAGAATGTTTGAAATACTTATTTTTTTTTTTTTAAATAGTGAAAGGCAAGTACTTATGCTTCTTACATTCTTTACAGGAAAAATGTGGGCAGTCGGAAGAGGAAGTTGCCCTCCTCTAATTACACCGTGCTGGCCACAAAAAGAGAGATGGTGGAGCGTGAGCTGAGCCCCATCAGCATGCCTGGAGAAGAGAGTAACGTCATGATGGAGAACAGCATCGACAGCCACACCTTTGAGAGCATCAGCGAGGACGATTCCTCACTGTCTCACCTCAAGTCTTCCATCACCAGCTATTTTGGGGCGGCCGGTCGGCTCACCTGCGGGGAGAAGTATCAGGTTCTGGCTCGCAGGATCACACCTGAAGGCAAGGTGCAGTATTTGGTGGAGTGGGAAGGAACTACACCTTACTGAATATCACAGAACAGAGGTGTGGAACAGATGGGCCGTGAAGGAAGGTGTCATGCGGTCCCCCCATAGTTACTTTCTGTTTTGCTTTTCTGACAGTCATAGTTTTTTCTGATATTCTGGTCTTCTCACATGTGAGACATTAAAGTCTTTGTTTTTCTTGAAGTCATTTGCGGTGTCCTTTTTTAGGGCACTTTAAACATCACAAACATGATTGAGTCTAGTAACATACTAACCTTATACAGTATAACATCATTATTAGGTAGCAGATAAAGGACAGTATTATACAACCTGAAGTCATTTCAGTTTAGTGTTGGGATTCAAACCCAAGCATTCGCCCCGAGAGTTTCAGTTCCCGTTATTCAGGATTTCAAAGTTTGTATCAAGTTTTATCGAGTTTAATGTTCATCCAAAAATGAAAGTTTGCTGAAAATGTACTCAGCCTCAGGCCATCCAAGATGAGTTTGTTTTTTCATGGGAACTGATTTGGAGAAATGTAGCATTACTTCACTTGCTCACTAATGGATCCTCTGTAGTGGATGGGTGCCGTCAGATTGAGAGTCCAAACAGCTGATAAAGACATCACAATAATTCACAAATAATCTACACGACTCAAGTCCATCAATGAATGTTTTGTGAAGCAAAAGGCTTTGTATTTGTAAGAAACAAATGCATTTAGAGGTTTTCATCTTCAGGCTTCCAGCTAAAATACAAGTATCCATAATATTGCTTCCTCCAGTGAAAATGTTGTCTCGTCTGAATCGGGAGAGAAATATGCACAGAGCAAGCACTGTTTACAAACAAAACAGTCCCCAACAGTTCTAAACAAATATGTTGGTGGATTTTGATGAGGGGACAACAGGAGATTGATTTTTTTCAATGGTTTTAAAGTTAAAGGGGTCATATGATGCTATTTTAAAGATCATTATTTTGTGTATTTGGTATAACAGAATATGTTGACATGCTTTAATGTTCAAAAAACACATTATTTTTCAAATACTTTAGATTATTGTAGGTCCTCTATGCCCCGCCTCTCTCAAACACGTCGTTTTCAACAAAGCCCTCTCCTTTGACAAGCGTGGCCTGCTCTGATTGGCCAGCTGACCCAGTGCATTGTGATTGGCCGAACGCCACAAGCACGCGTCGGAAATGTAACGCCCCTTACCAGAAGCGCCAGATTGTCATAGCAAAGTCGGAATTGACTTTTGTTGAATTTTGTGCTGTTCTGTTGTAAATAAATCTTAACCAATGATTCTTAATTGCATCTACTTCCGGAAGGCCAAATAAAGTGCTTTTGCTTTCGCACTGAATCACACAGCGTCTCCCTGACATGGCTGCATCAACACGACTGCTGTTCCTGAAACCACGCCTTCTTTCTTTGCGTGCACATTTGGGCGGCATTATGCTAATATTTCCACATAGTGACGTAGACATGTGGGGGCGTGTTAGAACGAGCCGTTTTAGGTAGGCATGGTTAACTCTTAACTTTTATAAAGAATATCTCTTTGGATTTGAGACTTTAGTCTTTGCAACTTTACAGATCTTCTTTATGCACCAAGAGCTTGTAACACTCCAAAGAGAAAGGAAAACTTGAAATCGCATCATATGACCCCTTTAAAATGCCTTAATGATGGGTTTATTTTTTTGTTTCACTTTACAAGATGTTAACTGGTCGAATGAAGATGTGTGAATTACTTGTGGATTATTGTGATGTTTTTATCAGCTGTTTGGACTCTCATTCTGACGGCACCCATTCACTGCAGAGGATCCATTAGTGAGAAAGTGATGTAATGCTAAATTTCTCCAATTATGTTGTGATGGAGAAACTCTCATCTAAATCTGGGATGGCCTGAGGGTGAGTACATATTCAACAAATTTTCATTTCTGGGCAAACTATTCCTTTAAAGTAACTCATTCATCTCTCTCAGTATTTCTTCAGAAGGAATGTATAGCGATTTATACACATTTGTTTGTTCACCTAAGATTAACAGTACAGTGGTACTTTTTAGCTGTTAAAATATTAGCACTTTCATTCTTTCCTGTTCAAACATAATTTTTGAATTTGTTCTAGGTGATTATATAACCAAAGTGATGCAAATACTGTTTTGAGAAGTATTTTTCTATTTTATATGCTTTTGTATGCTCTGGCATGTCAGATTGGATAAACAAGACCTGCTTTGAGAAAGCAGAATGAAACTGACAGGGGAAAGTGATCATTTTCATTTAATTAGCAATAGAATTTAGGCTGTTTTCAACATTTGCCCACATATCAATGTTTTTACAAGATCTCCAAAGAGTGTTGGTATATTTGAGATTGATCTGGAAGTGGATACATGCACTTATAAGATGATTGGATTGAGTGGAAAATTGAAAGTTATGTGAAGTTTTAAAGCTGTCAGGTTCTATTATTTGACTTCATTTAGTTTTATAGTACACAACATTATAAATATACTTTATTATTTACATGTATATAATTGGATATAAGATTAGCCCCATTTTATTATTGCACTATTAACATGTTTTATCAGCTATGCAAGTTATTATTGGATAAATTGACCTATATTTTCTAATTGATTTTAAAGAAAAACATTTATAAAAAGATATTTCAAATATTTACTTTTTACTTTTATAATATTTCCCCAAAGGAAAAGCATTTGTGAAATTTAAATGTGTCAACAAAACATGATGATGTTTTTGTATGTCAACTTGCTCACATTTCAAGAGAAGTTTTATATTATGGTTACAAGTTTAACAAGGTTTAGAAGAGAAACAACCTATTGTATTTGTACAAGATTAAAATTAAGCAGTTTAGAATGCTTTTATGACAATTTTTCTACACAGCACCCTCAAAGCCGTACATGGTAAACGTATGTTTTTTGTAACAGTGTTCAAACATGTTAAATGTGCAAACTTGCATGTGTCATTATTCATTAATTCCTGTTTCAGACCATTAAAACAGTTTGTCGGAAATAATTGTGTCTCTTATGTACCTGAACAAATATTTGTCATCACAGGTGTCTTGATATTATTTATAATGCACAATTAATACAGACACAAATGTAAATGCAAACACAGTAGCCATGATTAACTGGACTTGTCATCTCATGTGAGTGAGAAGAGAATGTAGGTTTCAAAAGTGCAGAAAATTGTATCTTTAACAGGTTAAAAGAATTGTTTTTCTTGCAAAGAACATCTACTTTAATTTCCTTAAAATTATATTTTAATATATCCAGAAACCCCTGTATGTCAAAGCCATGGTCATGGGGTCATGCATTTTTACACATCCAGTGGCAAAAGATTAACTTATGAATATTAATCACATGAGACTGACGTTCCTAGGTAACTTTTCTGGAACGTCTAGTAACATAGATAAATTAATATTCATGAGCCGAGCCTTCCACCCAATCTGCTTTGGCCTCTTATCTAATCTTAACGTTACGCGATTAATATTCATGAGTCAGGCCTTCACGTTATATGTTGAGAGGAAACAAGTGAATAAAGACATAATCTCCTCATTTTTTTGTGACATGTGATTTAATATAATCATTGTGTAATTTGTTGTCCAGAATTGAGTACGAACCTGCCAATTTCAAAACATCTGTCCAAATGAAAGAGTCGCTTGTGTTTTTCAGACTAGGTTATTTTTTTAAAGAGAGTTTTGTGTTTGTGGACAGATTAGTTGCTTTCTTCGCAGAGAGTTTAATCCGTTAAGTTAATTAAGGTATTACATGACGTGTCTCCCTGTGTCCCATTCAGTCTCAGTGACCCGCACGTGCGTCTCAAAAAAGCGGGTTAACAATCTGCACGCGCAAACTAGCGTCATTCCGTTTACATGATCCAAAAAGTTAATTTTGATGCCACGTTTAGTCGTTATGAGGTGTCCGTCAAGTGTGCAAATGTCCTGAAGCGTTCCATGTTGAAAATTGCACGCAGACATGTTTCGTGGCCCTACCGCTATGTCAACATACATCACCCGCTGTCAGCACCAGGGCTGGATGAGGGTCACCAGTAAGTACATTATTTGTTTTTTAGGCCGAAACGAGTTTAATTTGTTTATATTCTGAATGTGTTTGGCTTTTATGAATAAGTTTGTCTGCCATATGTTTACTGTGATTGTTATTTTGAGTACAGTGAGTAGAGGGCAACTGGAGCTATCTGTCACACATTTTACTTCAGTCAGTATTTCTTAGGAGTACTTTTATTTTAAACATCTTGTGATAAGCTTTTCAGAAAAGTGTAGATAGTGAAATTATTGTGAAAAAAAATGGAAAGGGTAAAATATCAAATAGTGTTGTAAATTTCCGCACTTTATTAAGTATATCTTCACGTGACGTGATATATTAACAAATGTGTCAACTTGCCTCACATTTGTCAGACATTTTTGAAATATAACTAATTATTCCTAGTTTAACTTTTCGGCTAAAATCTTCCTTCGTTATTAACTCTTATTTGAATGCATGAAATAGTGGTTTTCTCTTGTGTTCTTTTGTTTATGCAAAACGAATATAAGTTTGGTGGACAGAATTCACGAAAAACAATTCTGCTTGAAAACAAATTTAAGTAGGTTGTTGGAAACCAACATTAGTAAATCAGGTATCAAGTCATTTTTTAGTGTGTTATTGCAAACAGACATCTTTCATATATTTATCATGTGGCTCAGGAATATATTTATATCTCAATGCCCTTTAAATGATGTAATCATTTTCCTAATTAAATATAAACAGTTCCAAATCTCATGGGACAGAGCACAGCCCCAGGTGCACTACAACTGGCCAGTCTCTTAAAGGGATAGTTCACCCAAAAATGAAAATTCTGTCATCATTTACTCACCCTCATGTCGTTCCAAACCTGTATGAGTTGCTTTCTTATGTTGAACATAAAAGAAGATATTTTGAAAATTGATGGTAATCAAACAGTCGGTGGTTGCCATTGACTTCCATAGTAGGAAAAGAAATACTATGGAAGTCAATAGCAACCACCAACTGTTTAATTACCAGCAATCTTCAAAATATCTTCTTTTATGTTCAACATAAGAAACCAACTCAGGTTTGGAACGACATGAGGGTGAGTAAATGCTGACAGAATTTTCCTTTTTGGGTGAACTATCCCTTTAAATGTTATTTTTAAACTCAGTAAATGAACTTAAAGAAATTGAAGGCTCTCCAATTCAGTTAACGTAACATTGTGCTTTTAAACAAAACAATACTCATGCAACTGAGGCCAAGCAGGAAGGATTGTCCATTCATAGAGCTTGTATGCCAGCTGGCTTTATGACCACTGGGTCACCTTCTGTTTTTAGCTGCTAAGACTCACACTCTTTGGTCCTGCCATGATTGTAATTGATCCATCTCTTCTTCCTTATGTTCTTTTCTCATTTATCATACGTTTTCTGTTTTACAGACATGAAAGGTTCATCAATTCATTGGATATCTTGTGGAAAGCCA